ATTCTAAAATCTAGTAGCAATTACATTTCGATAGATTATGAAGAATTTTCAATTGAATGTATGTGGATTAACACTTAAGTTTGTAAACCGAGCTTGCGAGTTTACCCTTAATTCAATTCATCTCTTTTGTTGTAATGCGTTTACTAAATTAAATCTAGAGAGCTTGTTCTAGGTTTTTTAATGAACATGGTTGAGTAAAGAGTTTGTTTTATTCGACTAACATTTAAGAAGAGATTGAGATAATTGAGCTTGTAATTATTTTTGAACTGTTGTTAATCTTGAGAACGAAAATTTATTGTGATAATTGACATGAAAATCATTCTCGTGGCGATGAAATATCCCCCAATCACATTTTCTTACATTCAATCAAGAACCAATTTGTTTATTTCAAATTTCAAGTCTTTTCTAGTTTAAATTTATTGCTTACCTTAGTTCAACAAACCAAATCCCCCAATTTAATATTAATTTTACTTTTTAGTGCGCAATTGACATAATTGAATCAATCCTGTGCGGGAAATGACCCTTACTTGCCATAATACTACTTAAGACGACACATTTAAGTTAAGTAAGGAAAATTAATTGGAATGTGATTTGCAACGTATTAATTTTGGCGCCGTGTCGTCGGGAATTGTTCTATCAATTTGTTAATTGCAACATTTTTCTTTTTGTTATTTTTCTATTTATTTTTGTTATTTTCTTTGTCATTTAGGTTGTGAATGAGCAAAAAGCCTATAACACACTACAACCTAAGATCAAGAAAAGAGGCCGATGCATCGGAAAGTGGAGAAGACATTTCTCCAACCAGACATCTAAGGCGATTGAGCATTGAATCCTCAAGTGACTCCGAACATATAGAGCCCAAAATGGAGGATGCAAATCGGACCTTAAAGGAACTTGCAGCTCCAACTTTTGTTCAACAACCTCTGTGCATTCAATATCCTCAAGTGGAGGTGGGATTTGAACTAAAGTCTGGAGTGATTCATCTACTCCCCACATTTCATGGATTCGCCGGAGAGGATCCAAATAAACATTTGACAAAGTTTCATGTGGTTTGCTCAAGTATGAAACTGGCGGGTATATCGGAAGAGCAAGTGAAATTGCAAGCATTCCCTTTCTCTCTCGCGAATACTGCTTAAGAATGGCTCTATTATTTGCCAGTCGGTCTTATTACGACGTGGAATGAAATGCAAAAGCTCTTTTTGGAGAGGTATTTCCTAGCTTCAAAGGCTACAAACATCGGGAAAGAAATCTATAGCATACGGCAATCTCAAGGGAGAAATCTCTATGAGTATTGGGAGAGATTCAAAAGGCTATGTGCTAGTTGCCCAAACTATCAAATCAGTGAGCAATTACTTCTACAATAATTCTATGAAGGATTACTCTCGATGGAGAGAAGTATGATTGATGCGGCCAGTGGAGGAGCTTTAATGGATAAAACACCGACAGTTGCTAGGGATTTGATAGCCAACATGGCCGCAAACTCACAACAATTTAGTAGTAGAGAAGCGGCACCGGTTAAACAAGCAAGTGAGGTAGGAGCAACCTCTCAAATTGAATGACAATTAGCCGATCTTACATCGCTTGTGCAACAAATGGCACTTGGGACAATGCAACAAGCAAAAGTGTGCAGGATTTGTTCTATTGTAGGACATCCTACTGAGGCATGCCCGACACTACAAGAAGGAGACGAATGCAATTGGGGGATTTCCAATGCAACAGAGACAGAGATATGATCCATATGCTAACACATATTATCCTAGATTTAGAGCTCATCCTAATCTCAGTTATGGAGAAAATCATTTCATAGCTCCACAATCACAGTTTAATCATCCCCCGGGATTCAATCAACAAAGGTAACCACAACACCCACAACCTCATCAACAAACTCCACCTCAAAGTTCAGAGATGTCTCTTGAGGATATGGTTAAGTCTTTGGCTTTTATTACAATACAATGTCAACAAGAGACAAAGACATCAATTAAGAATTTGGAGACACAAGTGAGTTAATTGGCCAACAGGGTGGGTAAATGGAGGCTCAAGGATCGGGAAAACTTCCTTCTCAAGCAATCAACCCGAGAGAAAATGCTAGTGCCGTGACACTAAGACGTGGAAAATTTTTTAAAGGGGCACCAAGGAAAATGAAAGATCAAGTTGAGGAGTCATGTGAAAAAGATGAAGCTACGGCTCCAACTGTGGGATCTAAGGTAGAATCTAAAAGTTCTATTTCTACTTATGTTCCATCCCCTCCATTTTTTGGCAGGTTTGCAAAGTCCAAGAAGGATGAACATGAGAAAGAAATCTTGGAGACTTTTCACAAGGTTCAAGTGAACATACCACTTTTGGATGCAATTTATCAAGTGCCTCGTTATGCAAAGTTCCTCAAGGATTTGTGCACTAACAAGCATAGATTGAAAGGTAATGAAGTGGTAAGTATAAGGGAAAATATCTCAGCGGTCTTACAAAAGAAACTTCCACCAAAATATAAGGACCCTGGAAGTTTTACCATCCTTTGCATTTTTGGTAACACTAGGTTTGAAAATGCAATGCTAGATTTAGGAGCATCTATTAATGTCATGCCATATTCTATTTATGCTTCCTTAAATCTAGGATCACTTAAAGAAACCGGTGTTATTATTCAACTTGCTGATAGATCTAATGCATTTCCAAAGGGTGTGTTGGAGGATGTTTTGGTGCAGGTAAATCAATCAATTTTTCGACAAATTTCTATGTTCTTGGCATGCAAGATGAACCAACATCTTTGTCGCCACCATTGCTCTTGGGAAGACCATTTATGAGTACTGTGCGTACAAAGATAGATGTGCATGATGGTACATTGACAATGGAGTTTGATGGCGAGATTATTCGCTTCAACATCTTTAAAGCAATGAGATATCCTAGTGATCTTCACGCTTGTTTTTCAATTGATATAATAGATTCATTAGTACAAAAAGTTTTTGAATTATCAAATGAAGATGCATTGGATAACACTTTGATTAAAGGCATTGATGCCAACAATCTCACCGGGTTGAGCAAGAATTTACAAGTTTGCAAAGATGTTGAAATCGTGGCATCACTTGAGTCACTACCAAGTATTCCACCAAGGTATGATATCTCCTATATTACTCTTCCGATATCTAAAGAGAAATTTTTACCTTCGATGATGCAAGCCCCCACTTTGGAACTCAAACCTCTTCCCGAGCATTTGAAGTATGTATATTTGGGAGAGGAAAAAACACTATCGGTGATCATTGCAAAGAATCTCACAACACCTCAAGAAAATAGGCTTATCCGTGTCCTCAAGGAACACAAAATAGCTATTGGTTGGACAATAGCTGATATCAAGGGGATAAGCCCTGCTATGGGCATGCATCGGATATTGCTCGAAGATGAAGCAAAGCCATCAAGAGAAGCACAACGTCGCTTGAATCCTCCCATGATGGAGGTGGTGAAGAAAGAAATTTTGAAATTGCTAGATATTGGTGTCATCTTTCCCATCTCCGATAGCAAGTGGGTAAGCTCGGTCCAAGTTGTTCCCAAAAAGTCCGGAATCACAGTGGTGACGAATGAAGAGAATGAGCTTGTACCAACTCAGGTCCAAATGGGTTGGAAGGTTTGTATTGATTATAGAAAACTTAATTGTGCAACCCGAAAAGATCACTTTCCTTTATCCTTTGTTGATCAAATGTTGGACAGGTTAACAGGTCATTCTCATTATTGTTTTCTTGATGGTTATTCAGGTTATAACCAAATTGTAATTGTTTCGGAGGTCCAAGAGAAAACAACATTCACTTGTCCATTTGGCACCTTTGCTTACCGGTGCATGCCCTTCGGCCTTTGCAATACTTCCGCAACCTTTCAAAGATGTATGATAAGTATATTCTCCAATTATATTGAAACCATCATTGAGGTCTTTATGGATGATTTTTGTGTTTATGGTAATACCTTTGATAGTTGCCTAGAAAATCTCACACTTGTGCTTAAGAGATGTATGGATGCTAACCTAGTACTTAATTGGGAAAAATGTCATTTTATGGTTGATCAAGGCATAGTGTTAGGCCATGTCATTTCTTCCAAGGGGATATAAGTTGATAAATCTAAAATTGATCTAATTCGTTCATTACTTCTTCCAACAAGTGTGAGAGAGGTTCGTTCTGTTCTTGGACATGCAGGATTTTATCGAAGGTTTATCAAGGATTTTTCCAAATGTGCAAGACCACTATGCAGGTTGTTGCAAAAGGGGGTGCCATTTTACTTTGATGAAGATCGTAAAAAGGTATTTGAAAGCTTGAAGGAACTTTTGACATCGGCACCCATCATTCAACCACCAGATTGGAACAGGCTATTTGAGTTGATGTGTGATGCAAGTGACTTTACATTGGGAGCCGTTTTAGGGAAACGAGTTGGAAAGATACTTCATGTTATATATTATGCATCAAGAACTTTGAATGATGCCCAATTCAATTACTCTACTACTGAAAAAGAGATTTTAGCAGTTATTTTTGCTTTAGAGAAATTTCGTTCATATCTTATTGGCACTAAAGTAACTGTCTTTTTTTATCATGCAACTCTTAGGTACTTGCTTGCCAAGAAAGAGGCAAAATCAACGCTCATTAGATGGATACTCCTCTTACAAGAGTTTGACCTTGAGATTAAAGACAAAAAAGGGAGTGAAAATTCTGTGGCCGGCCACCTCAGTCGCCTTAGCCATGAGAGAGAAACTGTCCCATTGCAAGAAAGCTTCCCCGATAAACAATTGCTTCTTGTCACGGACAGACATGTCCTTGGTTTGCGGATATAGTGAACTATTTAGTCACTAAGAAAATCCCAAGTAACTTGACCACCACTCAAAGGCAAAACTTAAGGCGATGGCCAAGTATTTTGTGTGGGATGAGCCGTATTTGTGGAAACATTGTCCGGATCAATTGATAAGAAGGTACGTGCATGAAAATGAATTTCATTCAATACTTACCTTTTGTCACTTCTATGCATGTGGTGGACATTTTGTAGAAAAGAGGACTACTCTCAAGGTGCTTGAAAGTGGATTCTATTGGCCCATCCTATTCAAAGATGCATTCCTCTTTTGAAAATCTTGTGATCGATGTCAAAGGGTAAGTACGTTGGGAGCTCGAAATCAAATGCCACAAACACCCATACTTTTTGTTGAAATTTTTTATGTTTGGGGCATTGATTTCATGGGACCTTTCCCTTTATCTTATGGTATCCTTTACATCATTCTTGCCATTGATTATGTGTCAAAATGGGTGGAAGCAAGGGCCACTCGAACTAATGATTCTAAAGTGTTTATAGATTTTGTTAAATCCAACATTTTTGTAAGGTTAGGAACACCAAGAGCTATTATTAGCGACGGAGGACTACATTTTTGCAACTGTTCCTTTTGGGCCCTATTGAAAAGATACAACATCACCCATAAAGTGGCTACACCTTACCATCCGCAAACTAGTAGGCAAGTCGAAGAGTCTAACTGAGAGGTCAAATCTATCCTCAAAAAAACTGTGAATCCCAATAGAAAGGATTGGAGTCTCCGCCTCAATGATGCACTCTGGGCTTATAGGACGACATACAAAACACCGATTAGCATGTCCCCTTATCGGTTGGTTTATGGTAAGCCTTGTCATCTCCCGGTTGAACTCAAACATAAGGCATTTTGGGCAGTCAAGCAATGCAACATGAAGCTAGGTACAGTAGGTGATCAAAGAAAGCTTCAACTTAATGAACTTGAGGAAATTCGAAATGACGCCTATGAAAGTTCAAGAATTTACAAGGGAAAAAATAAGGTGTACCATGATAAAATGATTTCAAGAAAGGCTTTTGTTGTTGGATAAAAAGTTTTTCTTTTCTACTAGTGCCTCAAGTATTTCCAAGTAAATTACGTTCTCGATGGATTGACCCTTTTGTTATTACTAATGTCTTTCCTCATGGTACAGTAGATGAGAAAGAGTTTAAGGTGAATGGGCATCGATTACAGCCATGTTTTGAACCCTTCGTACCACAAAACATGGAGGAAATGCGATTGAAAGATCCAATCGAAGAAGCATGAGAGAGGACACTTATTTTTGTTTTTGTGAATTTTTGTCGCCAATGGTCCAGAACCATCATCACAGCCATCACCGTCAACACCACTAGGGGAGTATTTGAACCTCTTGCGTTTTCTATTTCTTTTTGCTTTTACATTGAGGACAATGTGCAATTTAAGTTTGGGGTAAGGTGGTATGTGATAAATTTTTTGTGGAATTTTGTGGTTTGTGCTAATCTTGTTCTTGCTAAAAACTTAAAAATTCGGGTTAAATGCTTGTTTTTATGCTTGTTTGTGTTGTTTGATAGTTTTGTCAATTGCATTTTGAGTATTGCATTACATTGATTTATGAATTGGGAACATGAATGCTAAGTGTTATTTATTTTCATCCACTTATTCCATGATTGACTCTTTATTGAGCACTTGGATCATGAGGTTCATCACACGCACTTGTTGGTTGCACTTGTAGGTTGTTAATGAACTTAAATGACCTGGCTATTAGAAATTCTTGAATTACTCTACCAATGAAAGGATAAGTTTGGAGGTGGTTGAACCGGTGAAATAAATTATTTAGAATTGTATTAATTCTTGACTTAGTGATTGATTTTGTAGAATGTTCTTAGACCTCAAATGAAAGTTAGATGTTGTTTTCCATCTATTGATATTTCATAATAAAAAATTTAAAAAAAATGTAGGAAAAAGTTGCCTACCCTAAGGAGTGTGAGTCAGCATTGAGTAATCTGGCCCTATACATCACCAATGTGTAGGAGACGATCTACG